ATACAAAATAGAAAACAATTTACAGTAAGCGATGCGTTGTTTTCATCGTAGATGTGATTCTCGAACATTTTTAGACACAATTTCAAGACTTCACCATTCTGAAAACAAGCAGCAGACATTTTTACGTTTTTGCAGTGCAAATCGTATTTCGCCCGCTATAAAAGGCAATTGTTTTTACTCAAAGCAAGAGGGTTTGTGTCCTCGACAAAGCCATGTCAGTATCAATGTATCATCGAAACGAATGAATGAATTGACGCTTCTCTCCCCTCTCCTGCAGGAATATCATATCATTAAAAAAAAATAAACCTTTTCATGGACTTTGTAAGCAGGAATAGTGACAAGTAAAAAAATGGACAATACGTTGGCATTCCAGGAAACCAGGACGACGATTTGCAGAGCAGTTGCTTGGATATCGCTGTCTTTGAGATAAGAATAAAGGATGAAGCAAAGAGCTAAAAGCGTCCAAGCACAAAGGTACAGCAGAGCTACTGAAAACTGACCATCCACCACATCCGCTGCTTCTTTGAGATGCTAAAAAGAAACCCTTTTATGTCATTCATATCCTCGGATAGTTAATTTTTCCGCTAAAATTTTCATCTTAATTGATTCCTTGCGCCCAATCTATAAGATCGACCCGAATATTGTTTTGAGACAAATACCTTTAGTTCTATGGTCCCAGACAAGCTTGAGGGCCATATTCCTGAAATTTTAATCGGTTTCCTATCTTTGGTAATTTATGCAGTTGAATTATTTCGCTATAATTCATTTTTTTTTTATTTAGGATTTCAAATATAGAAACTGTTCGAAGAATAAAGAAATAAAACAATTTTATGTCACAAGCACGATAACAGTCGAGGATAAAAATGTTTGACAAACAGACAATAAAGCCAGGTTGTAACTGTGAAGGAAAAAATAACCTGAAATCTCTGTTGCAGCTTTCTCAGGACCTCCAATGCCGCTTTTGGTGAAATCCTAAAAATTTTTTCGCATTAAATAACAAAAATTATTAGAAAATTTTTTGCAGAAAATTCGAATATTCGCAAAGAGGAAGAGTTATTTGGGAGGCTGCCAGTATGAGATCAAACGACTGCTATAAAATTAGCTGAGAACATGAGCCACAAACTATTATCACGAAAAAGGGCGCATAAAAGAAATACTGCTTCTGAGGGGTTACGCGGTATCAGAACAAAATAACACTGCATTTCCTAATAGCATTCTGACAAGTAGAGCTTGTGAACGAGTCCCTTTTCGAAAACTGTTGTGCATCGTAACTCAGATTAACATCATCCCTCGTTTTTTTTTTTGAATGAAAATTACAGCAAAATCAATCACTTCCCTTGTCGGCCTTATCGAAAAAAGGCAATTTTAGAAAGCCGGAAGAGCAAAAGCCTCAGCTTACAGGATTTCCTGAGGCGAAGGAGGAGGTTAACTTATACCAGACAGTTGCAAAATCTAACAAAACTCACATTGCAGCCAAATCGATGCCAAGCCACTGCATATCGGCGATGAGTTTGTTGAAACTTTGCCGTATAACGTTGCAGAAAACGACGAAGAAAATGGCACAAATCATGAGGGATGACTGAGTCATGAAAGTTATATATGCTTCGATAAGTATTTGCGCCGCCAGTGGCAGATTTGGGATTATCGAGTGTTGTCTTACTAGCTTCCAAACATACACTGAAACAGAAGCTGCTTGGATTTGAAATTTTTATTTGGAATAGTTATTCACTGTGCCGATGACCTTGCTACTATTTTATGTTATACGGACAACGATTCAGCTTCAGAACTATAAAAGCTAAAAAATTTCAAATAATTTTGATTCCAAAAACATAAAATCAACTTCCACGTCGATTACGACGCAACAGTTGAAAGGTCAGTTCTGTTTTATTGAAATGAAATTAAGCCAGTACAGATGCAGCATATGATGTCGCATCCCGGACCTGCGCTGCATTTTATTTGTGGAACGAATATATTAAAAAAGGTAAAATCGATGTGACAAGGTAAAATCTATTTTTTTGTGACATTCATTGGCTTTAAGACCAGCTGCTCGCAGAAACGTATAACCGCTATTTCTTAATCCAGGAAAAACAAACTTCCAACTGTGGAAGCTGTAATAACGATGGAAACGATGATGATGACAGCAACGAGTATTTGAGACTTTTTACGTAGACGGCTTATTACCACATCTTCTGGTTCTTGTTGCGACGATATTTCGCGCATTGTACATTCGTTCAAACTTTGCAAATTCTTGTGCATCAGGTACAAGAATATCGCAGCCGCTGCACCGCTAAAAAAGTATTTTGCTATGGTAGGGAAAATTAATTAATGGAATAGATGCTACACCGCAAAAATCAATTATCATTGAGATAGATTTTCCTCAAATGTCATAATATTCTAATCATAACAAATAATA